TTCTGTCATATATGTGAAACACCCAGTAAAAACAAAAAACTTTACAACTAATAACCATTTGTCTATACTAGTATATCAAGTAATAGCACACAGATCCTAATGATATAACTGACCATGTGAAATAGGAAGAAAAGGGTATAGGGGGAAGGTATAGGGAAAAAATGGGAAGGGTAGGGAAAAGGTAATAAGGGAAAAGAAAAAATATGAAAAAATGAAAAAATGGAAATAAAGTGTTTGTAAATGGGGAGGGGAGGAGGGGATGAAGGGAGGGCACAGACAAAGGGCAAAAAATGAGAACCAAGACCTGTCATGTAAAGGTATACAAGATCCCAATAATGAACGTAATTGTAATGTATACCTTAAATGTACCAATACATTCAATTAATAAAAAAAAATATCTTCCCAAGTCTATCCTTCCATCTCTATTCAGCAAAACTATCTAAATCCTTTGAGGTCTACATCAATTAACTTTTGGATCTTCTTTATCACTAGAAAGAATCAATAAAATTTTTCTCTGAACTCTGAAAGAACTTCATTTCTTCTATAAAAAGTTTACTGATCAGAGTTATAGTAGTCATTAGTCTACAGATGACTACATATAATCTATGGTTGTAACCTTTAGACTGAAAATACCTGAAATGAAATCAAGTTCATCTACCATGTATTATTAGTACCTAAATAACTGCATGGCACTCTTAAGTACTTGATATAGAATGAACTTGAATTTACAGTCACCATTTTGCCCATGTTTCTCACTTATCAAATGAAACTAACAATGTTGTTCCCCAAGATTTTTTCTATGTGCTTAGTTAATGTTTGTCCAAGGTAACACAGTGCTGCCTATGCAAATTCACTTCCCAAGTTTAAGATAGACCTTTGTGATTAGTTCTCTTTCCTAAATCTTGCACAGTTGTCTGGAACTGGTTTGACTTCACTTTCTCCCACTGGATATTCAGATTGGTTAATGACACAGAAATTTCCAGTTTGTTGTTGTGGGATTGATTGCATGTGATATGGTGCCCCTGCGGTGAGTTAGATATGCATAAAATGCCTTGGAAGAACAGAGTTATCATTTCAGAGAAAAATGGATAGAAAATGGATTCACAGAGGAAAAAGCTGCTTGCCTGCTTTATTTATTTATTTATTTATTTATTTATTTATTTATTTATGTTGGTACCAGGGATTGAACCCAAGACCTTGCACTTGCAAGGCAGGTGCAGTGCCACTGAGCTAAATCTCCAGCCCTCTACTGCTTTACTCTTAAACACTTTAACTTTGAAGATGCTATAAATTCTCTTAAGGAAAACAAATTAGTTTTCCAAGAACTATTCAGGAATGTTATTTATTATACTTCCATTTATTATGCTTCTCCTCAAATTTAGTTAAAAATCTTGTGAAGGGAAATACTTTCAATGTCTATCAACATGTGAATGGGTGAATAAACTAATATACCCATACTATGGAATATTACTCAGCAATAAAAAGGAGCCATGCAGCAACATGCTTTATCTCAAAATGAGTATGGTAAGTGAAAGAAACCAAATCAAATCCATATTCTAGAAAGTCCAGACTAATCTAATTGCCATATAAAGTAGATCAGTGGTTACTCAGTGATTGAGAAGGGGATGGGGAAGGGCAGAAGGAGAGAATTATGATGTCCTGTGAAGAAGCATTTAGGGGACAATGAATATGCTCCTTATGTGGAATCTGGTGATAATTTCATGGGAATATATTTGTCAAGTTGCAGAACCCATAGACTTGTATACTTTAAAATATGCAAGTTGTTGTGTGCCAATATAAAATTGTGTGCCACAATAAAATGCTTTTTTAAAAAAGGTGACAGGAAAAGGACAGAGGTAAGAAAAGAGACGGAGAAAAAGGGAGAGTCTGTCCAAAAATATATCTATACAATGCCACTTAAAAAGTTTTACTCAAAGAATTAGAATGTTCATTATTCACAAAATACCCTTCCAAAATGACATTTTCCTTAAAATGTCACTTTCTAAGAAGATAGGAATTGTATTTTTGAAAGGAGCAGCCAGGCTGCAAGCAGATGATTGATTATCATGGAAAATCATTGATGTATCATTGCAATTTCACAGTATTTCTTACAGTTAAAATAAAGCTCCTTCATATCTTTCACAAAGGTATTGTAAAGCTTTAATTGATTTGTGTTGGCAAAAACCCTTGGCTGCCATCATGGAAATAATTGAATTAATTATCAAGATAGAAATGTACAACTTTTTAATTGTTTCTAATGTTTATTTTTATTACAATAAATATTGGAGGGTACCAGCTATTTTAACTCATTTTATTAGGGGAGATTTTCATTCTTAGGGGTTTGCTCCTTTGTTTATTCAAGATCAAATTACAGAATCTATAAATATCTTTAAATAAATTTGTATGGCTATCTGAACTACTGCATAACCTTGCAAATATCACTTTCTCATTTATTAAGCAACTGTAGTGATTTAGGTAGGGTGAACTAAGGAATATAAGCTCCTAAGTATACGCATATATTTTCTTTTAGAGGAAGGTAGAATTTTTTGCCTTCTTCTGAGAAAAAAAATTTCACATTAACTCAGCATGTCAGTAAAGAAATATGATGAAAATATAAGTGACAATATTGGTCAGGAGTACAATGTACACACTCATAGAAAAACAGGCTTTGAAAGATGCTTGATCCACAGACTGTGTTTAAAGCAATAGATACAGCATGCAGTGTAACAGGGACTCTTAATGATTGTCCTTAAGTATCACTCAGTAATAATCCATACACAGTAGGTCTCTAGTGACTATTAGATATTATTATTCATTATTTTAGAAGTGAAATTTGAGATTGTGACTTAATATCCAGATAATAGGTCTGGATATCATAATCTCTCACTATTTGAAAAGCAGAGTAAAGATGATGTTCCTTGCTCTCCCTATTCCAACTAACAGAAAATAATCATGGAGAAAATTCATTCAAGAAAGTGTTAATCATTGGGCAGAAATATGGTATTTTTAAAGAAAAATATCTTAAGAAGGACCCTTAGCTATAGACCTCTACAGTGCAGTCCACAGTAAAGTAGGTAATGATTCCCATATTTTAAATGAGAATGTCATTATGAGGCACAGCCACCTATAAAAAGTTCTGCAGTGCATAAGGCTAGATAGAATGCAGTGACCACTGGGCACATGTGGTGATATAAATTCATTTCCTCAGGTTCACTAGCCTCATTTCAAGTGCATAGTAGATACATCTGGTTAGTGGCATCTATGTGGACAATGCAAAATAGAACACTCCTTCCTCACAGAAAATTCTGGTGGTTAGATCTGGGTTAGAATGCAGTAGAGGCCAACAGCAGGGTGCCAAATAAGGATTCTGGAATAATGGAGTTGAGAATAAGAGCTTACATTGCTTACAAAGGGACATCTCACTCCACTCCCAAAGGAAAAGGACCTTGGCTCCTATTCTCCTATCCTAGCTTTCAATAAATAATCTAAAGTGCTTTTATGCCCCCGTGCCCTCTGGGACCTCAAAAACTAAGTGTGTGTTTTCCATAAAATATTAAATCAAGAAGATTAAGACAGCACACTTAATGTGAAATAAAGTTCATATACTCCTGTTTAAACACAGATTAGAATTTCTGTCAGAACAATGCCAGTGAAAAGTTGACATTCTAATTAATACAATTTACATTATAAAGCACTGAATATCTTTATCTTGCTATTATGAAATGCCCTCTTTTTAAAAAAAAATGTGAAACTCTACTCAACAGGGAATTGAGTACTGAGGGCAGTATTTTAAACTCCATGTAAAAAGGGGGGTTAGGGTCACTGACATTTTTATACACCATCAACTCTAAAAGGGTAGCCATACTCATCCTCTGCTTTGCCATTCTTTATCATTCACAAAACTATTTGCCTGGATTTTGAGGCTGTTTTTCATACAGTGTTAGAAAACATGCTGCAAAACACAACACCAAAAATCGAAAACATTTTCTTTCTCTCATTCTTCCCTCTTCTTTGCTTCTACAGGTCTTTCCCTCCTGTCTCCCACTTAAGATCACAGAGAGCAGTTCTGGAACCCTGTGAGCTCTCACACATGTAAAACTACCACAAAATATTTACTTGATCCAAATTCTGAGTATGTAAGAGGGGTAGAAAATCAACCCACAGTTGGGTAACCAAGGATTCATGTTCATTGCCTTTGTCGAATTTTATGCTATCAGTGAAAGGAATAAAGATGAGATCCTCAAAGCTTGAATTTTCATTTCCTATGACAACGTACTTTTTCTTCATGCTTTATCACACTCCGCTTCGTGGTTTCCACCCCTTTATAATTGATATCGGCCACTTGAAGCATTCAGTAAAAACCTCATGAGGTTCATCAAATGTCCCTCAGTCTATAATTCTTGCTTTTAACATACTCAGAAGCATATTCATCCAAGTGTTTTCCACTTCCCTCTATAGGTTTCTCTGTGCATAGGGATGGGTGTAATGACAGTTGTATTAATTATCTGCTGAAAAATCCACATAGCAGCAAAAATGATGGAAATCATCATTTTAAATATTTTATTAAAATAACTCAGTGTAGAACAGATAAAGAAGACTCTCTTGATAATGAGAGGCTCATTAATTTTACAAGAATTCTGGAAAGCTTAGAATGGTCATCAAAATTGTCTCTTTAATTCATTTTTATAAAAAAAGAGAAAAACTTCGATTGTCATTGGAGAGCAAGGGTTGAGCAAAATTTTCTGAGGTGGTTTTGAATATTTGCATGCCTTTTTCAAAAAAGCTTTGAAAAATTAGCTCGAAATAGGGAGAATTTAGGTTGTAGACTATTACTTGAGATGCCTGCAGATTTTGAGCTTTTGTAGTTTTCCCTATTAAAACCTGGATTCATTAGCATATAATGACTTTTGATAACTAAAATTGATATTTTACATAGACAAGCGGCACATTAAAATCCTCCAGTTACTGATAGCAAGTGCAACTCCATCTTGCATACTTACCAAGTGTGTCTCCAGGTACAGTTTAAGGCCATCCATCTCTGCTTTGGGGGGAGTCCAATTCTCAGTGGTTTCCATGGCTTCATTTAACCACTGAATGAATTCATCCAGCTTGTTTACAAACCCCTTGTGAGGAAAAAAAGGAAAAGGAGGGGAGAGGATAAGAAAGGCATATTAGTTGGTTATATTTTAAATCAATCTTTAAAATTCCAGACTTCACCCACAATGAAACCAATACTACTGTATTCCCATCCTAGTGTTGTGTTTCTGATGAGAAAATCTCCACTATTCTTGGTACTGATATCTGCCCAAGCAGGAAGTTATCCTTTCAATTTTTTCCTATGAGCACTTTCTTATAGATTGGGATCCCACTGTGGATTGGGGTGTTGCTGCACAGGTGACCTCAAAGTATTGAAACATTTCTGGCATCTGACAAACATCCCCTTGTCAAAAAAAAATCAGGTCAGACCTTCTAGGAGAAAACTCATTGGCTTTGGGGGAATAAAAGCATCTCTGTAAAGATGCTCAGAAGCTTATGGAATGAGCTAAAGTAGAAATGTGCTTTCTAGTTTAGCTAAAGTAGAAATATATTTTTAAGTCCCTTAAGTATTGACAGGCACCTGGATGAGTTCTGTCTGTGGCTGAGCCTGAGTGCTAAGAAGGAAGGAAGGATAGAAGAGTGCAGCCATTGAACACATGCAAACGCCTGACTCTAGGGATATGTGGACACGGAGATATTCTTGCTTAGAAGGCAGAAATCATAAAAATCTTGCAATTTTTCAAATAGTGGTTATAAAATTTTATTGGCCATTTAAAAGTACACATCTGTAGAAATGAGAAATATTTTGAAAAAATGAAAGCCCAGCTAACAAAACTAAGGGAAAGAACGGGGCTGGGCTCTTGCTTTCCACGTCTAGGTAAACAGCACCACCTGGAGTTCAGAAGGAGCAAGGGCAGGGTTCCACAATTTTACTTAAAGGGCTTGATACGCTATTTCCCTATTAAATTTAAACCATCCTTTAGATTTGAATTTTGATTAGTTTTGATTAAAGTTTTAATGCACAACCATATCTTAAGATCAAAGTAAGAATAAGTGAAAATTCATTTTATCATACTTCTCAGAGGTAGGTTTTGTTATTAGGCATCCTAATAGATAATTTTTAAAGTCTGTAACTTTGATTTAAGCAATTGATTTGCCACAAAAGAATTATCAGGAAAGGAAAAATGGGATCGAGGAGAATAGTAAAGATAAAGGTAGAAAATGAGACTCAGAAACACATCCTGTCTAGTGAAAGGGATAGAGCAGAGAGCTGTGTGCATAGATCAGACTGTGCCCCACAGGCTCTGCATCTTGTCAGTTTTCATGGAGCTCTATCACCACAAGCAGCGGTGCACCATGTTTCCTGTGTTCATAGATGCTACTAAAATTTAACCACCCAAATTAACCTTTTTTTTCTTATTTCTTCATACTGTAATTTTTCTAAGCATTAACAATCCATGCCACATATTCATTTTTCCCTTTTGTCATATATTTATCAATTAATCTACTTTATTCTTTCCTGCATTTGTAATAAATTTGAGTGCTTTATTCATTTCCTATCCAATACTTGACTATTTCAAAGCAGAAATTACCCATATTATATTACCAATAGACCCTTGCATCTTTTCAAAATAACATTCCTCAAACCCCTTTTCCTGGTAGACTACCCAGGGATCAGAATATTCTACAAAATTATATCTGAGTTGATATTTACCATAAGCCCCTTCAGATGTGTACATTGTTTGTGAGAAGGGCAGAAGCTATTAGAACTCAAGTCCTAATTCCTTATACTCTCATAATGAAAATTTTAAGAAAAATTAAGAGACCTTTTGCTGACCAGATGGACTTAAAGAAATATTGTCTATTCTCTACAGAAGTTTATCAGAAAAGCACAGTCTGGGTGGTTGATCACTGTGAGATAAAAAATAGTATTTCATAGTACTTTTAGTCTTAGGCAAAGAGTATTAAACAATATGTGTCAGGTATCCTAACAGAAACATGACTACATACTTAGCTGAAATTTGTGAGATGCAGATTTGGCAAAAACCATAGGATCTAGATAAAAATTTCTGGATGATATCTCTGTCTAGTCCAGCTAGACAACAAAACAAAGATGTTTAATATTAAGGAAGTAGAAGGTGTTTCAAGGCTTCTTTCTGAATTTCTTCTGAATTATTTCTCATCCTCTCCAATGTTTTTCAAACTCATTTCTTGCCAACAGTAAGTCTCATCAATCACAATAGAAATTTGACAAATCTAGTGTTCCAAAGTTGTAAAAAAAAATCTAAGTACTTTATATTCTCTTAGGAAAACCTTATTTCCCTTTTTGGTCCTGTGCACAGCTTCAAAAATAAAAGGAGGAATCAAAGTAAATTAAATTGGAATCCATTCAGTTCTTGAAATCTTTGTCACCTGCTTTTTCTCTTCCTGTGTCCACACCCTTATCTGTGTAGTATCATTAATGTTCTTTGTGCTGTGGACAGTATATTGGGTAATATTCCTATATCATGAAATTGTGTGTGTGTGTGTGTGTAAATGAATATTGAACCTAGAAGTACTCTAACAATGTGTGTGTGTGTGTAAATGAATATTGAACCTAGAAGTACTCTAACAACAAGCTACTTCTCTATCTTCTGTCCTTTTTATTTAATTTTTGAGATAGGGTCTCAGTAAATCACTCAGTAAATTGCCCACACTGGGCTGAATTTATTTCCTCCTACCTCAGCCTCCTGAATAGCTTGATTACAGGTGTGGACTAGTCACACCTGGCAAGATTCTCTTTCTTAGAAAGACAAATTAAGTAATATGCAGTAAATAGACCCTGTAGATGTTCAGAAGTATTCACATTTAGACCCATATAATAAATGCCTGTTGATAATTTTCAGAAGCTCCACGGGAGTCTTGGTGGTGTGAATAAAGGAAAATGAGGAGGATATGAAAAACAACATAGGAAAATGGAGAAAATATAGAATAAAGTATCTATTTTTAAATAAGTCAAATTCTAGCACAAATATAGATCATTTATTTCACGTAATACGTATCTCCTAAGTGTTTACTATGTGTAAAGCACACTGCAAGACATTATTAGGAATACTGAGATATATATCATTGTGGCAAAAATTTTAACAGAATATAAAGCATATCTAAACAATGACCTACTGAAATCAAGTAATTTTAATTATTAAAAAAAGTTTTACAATAAATAAAAAGTAAAGACACTCTCCTGGATTTTGTAAAAACTTATCCTGTCTATATCAGAATTCTGTCTGCATCCAAATTTGTAACTATTCCTAGTACTGGAGAGTCAAAGGTTATAACAATTATATTTTCTTTATAATACAATCCAGTGCCGCCACTGCAGTACATAAAAAGCACATTTTATGCACATTCAACTCACTGACACAAGCTGGATTATAACCTTTGAAAGGCCACATTCTAGTCTTTGTTGTGCAAAACATCTACTAATGTATCTGTTCAGTATCTTTCCTGTCATTTTCTACTACCAGTTCCCTTGTCCCTTTCTGCCCCTTCTTCCATTTCCTCTCTGTCTCTCTATCAAACTATCCAGGGCTATATGGAGAGTGACACAGTCCACAAGCCCTAGTGCTGCCCCCACCTATGCTATTACTTAATTACTTCTTTCAGTGTGGATTCCTTGCCACCTTCATATTTGATATTGGCTCCGAGTCTATAAACACTTGACTGGGGACAAGCCAGGATTTAGTCCCCAGAAGAAATCTGTCATCAAACTTGGAAGAAAAGCGAACTACAGTTGGCCCTGTTATCACCAGTTGCTAGCACACCTCTCACTTTCAAATAATTTGTATTTAAAATTTCCATCACAGAGTGCTTTTTAAAAGCACTTTTTAAACTTTTTGAAGCATCAATCTTTTTAGAGACTAAAAAGCAGAGTGAAGGTAGCACTTAAATATATTGTTACTGGTGTGTAAAAATTAAGTTGCCACAGCCCTCAGCTAGCTAACATACATTGGAAGATTTTATTCAGAGAGAACATTTACAAGTCTTACAAATAGCTACACTCTCATGATAAATTAAGAATACTCATTATTTCATTTATTTCCCTATTATTTTCTCTCCCACAAGAAACTTTATTGTTTAAATATAAACTACAGGGATAATTACCTTTGACCTCTAGCAAGGCTGCCTTGTATACCACAATAAAAAAGAAGGGGCTTCCATGCACCAGATAAGGGGCCCAGGAAGCAGTCAGAGTGGAAAGGGAGATTTGATACCTGCCTTATGGAGTCAAAAGTCTAGGAACTTCCTTTTCTTTTCTTTTTCTTTTTTCTTTTTTCTTCCTTTTCTTCCTTCCTTCCTTTTCTTTCCCTTTCTTTTCCTTCCTTCCATTCGTACCTTTCTTCCTTTTTGTTTGAGATTACTGTCTCAGCCTGCTGAATGCTGGTATTATAGGCCTGCACCCCCATGTCTGGGTGCTATTGAATATTTTAAAGCATTACAACGTATGTCTTTCTTGGGATTCTAGTATAAAGGACTCATCCAGATAATTCTAGCCTAGAGGATGAGTAACCCTTGTATACAGCACTTATTATGTGTTAGAATTTGTCAGTATTTGATATAAAGTAGATCATTTAAGTTTCATAAAACCCCCATGAAATTAGTATAGTTGCCACTGTCCTTTTACAGATGAGAAAAGTGACACCCAATACTAAGAACTTCTCACTACCCTGGGTGGCACAGGAAATGGCAGAATTTAACACAGCCTCACTGGCACCACATGAAATCATGAAAGGCCTGCTGATCTAACAGTTTATCTATGTCCCTGGCAGAAATTAGAAATTGAAAAATATTTAAATGAAAATTAATGTTTGAGATAAGGGACAGGTATATTAAAAGAAGAAAAAAGAAAACAACGCTTACAGTCATTCAATATGAGAATAGTTGCTACACCCAAACAAAACTGAATTTGATTCCAAGGGTAAACTAACCAGGTTGCTTAGTGCCTGTAAACTTCAGTTTTCTTCATCTATAACATAGGGATAGTAATATACATCTTGGAGTCACATGAGGACTACAAGAAAAAAGTGTATTATAAGTCCTGATGTAA